AAAACTAATAAAACAAGTTTTAAAAAGAGACTTTTCCATTTGATTACATTTTGTATGATGATTATGCAGAAAAAGTAGAATTGGGCTGAAAGATCTATCGTGTTTTTAAAAAGTAGCTAAGTAACTAAGTAATTAATTACTTTTGAAAATAAGTAATCAGTAAAGTAACTGGATTACTTTTGGGGGGGGAAGTAATCAGTAATTAGTTACTGACTACTTTTTTCAAGTAACTTGACCAACACTGATCCCAACAATCTCCATACCCTCATGATCACAAAAAAATAAATAAAATTAAAAATTAGGCATCTAAAGATCTCCACGAAGCCTCTCACTCTAGCAGATCTGCACACCTGAAACTATAACATAACAAAGTCGAGTCTGTGTGCTGTTTAAAAATCCACTCAAACGTTTAAAATGCATTTTGTTTACTTAAGAATCTGATTAATGGTTTCAAATCATCTAAAGTCACACGCAGTATCCGTAGAGACAACGTCCAACTTCATCCATCCATCGCCTGTTGTGTGTCATATTTAAATCACTAAGCCAATCAGGAACCTGGTAACGTCCAACAGATCTCAGCAGTGATGGATTCCTGAACGTTTCATTGCCATCTGAGCTCTTAAAGATGTCTGTACTTTTAACTGGGACGCAAGGTATCCTTTTATCCACTGCAGTCCAATAACACTTTACAACCTGGCACATAAAGAGTTGCTCAATGTGCTCCACACACCTTTCTCTCACTCACAGAAAGGCTCTCATCATTATCTAAGACAGACATTCCTTTTCTAGCGCAGCGGTGTGATATCTCAGCTTCTACAGTAAACAGCTGAGGACAATGATCCTGTTCACGCTGGGCCCAGTCCTCCCAATCTCTGCTCACCGCCTAATTTTAGTAACGTGGCGGCCCTCGCCTTCCCCTCCCCACACTTCACGTTCTAAATAGGTTGGGCTGCTCAGCGAGTTCAAGCCACACTTGACCGAATAAGGAACTGACGAAGAGCTCGGCTGCTTCGACACGCTGCAGGAATGTCCGTTTGAGAGTGGGCAGCCCTGCTAGCGTCACGGCAGCGCCTCTGCCTGTTTGCTGGACACACAC